TGCATGATTTATGTTCCATACTTATTTCATAGCTAAGAAATTTAGAACGAAGCACTCAGCTAGTCAGCTTCCAATCAGGTACGCAGCATCCCAGCTCCACAACCCCAACAGGGCAGTCAAATTCCTCCATGGAATGAAGCAGCTGGAGGTAGCCAAGTTTTACTAGGGAGTTCAGTGCTTCAATGAGGCAGTAGCAATGCACTTAAAATATTGTTGGTGACGACTGGCCACAAGACCACGCTGTGGCAGGCCTTGTGCAATGGGTGTCAAAAATGTTAGACATCAAAACATGTTTGTTGCTACAAATATGTTATCCTTTTGCAATTTGTTCTCTAAAGTGTTGCAATTGCAACTATTCCTTCTCAATGATACAATGTTGCCCAGTAGATATTAGCTAGACTTTTTACATTTGTTGAACCAAGGGGGCATTTTGCTGCAATTTTGTTATATAAATGTTGCCGTTCAATGATTTAGAGGCACACAGTAGGATGCCTAAGACTAAATCACTCAGGGGACGATGCGACAGGAACAACTTCCTTCAGACATTTGTCAAGTCCTTCTAGTTCCAATGTAGGAAAAAAGCTAAGAGGAATCAAGGTCAACCATGAGCATCGGATTTAATCTTCTGGAAATAAAACTATGACTACATTTCCTACCCATCTGCAGGCTTGCCAAAAAAAATTACTACCATTTTTTCCCTTTATTTCATGGTTGTGCAGAAAGATGCACTTTCCGGTGACAGCAGGTCATTTGTTTTCAGGAAGCAGCAGCATGTATTTGACAAATCTCTTCAAAGGCAGCAACCATTCTGCTACCCTCCAAGCATGCAATCATCACATCCAAATATATTCAACTAGCTTAGGGGGTCACTGGTGGAAACCTGGGAGCGTTGGTTTGCAAATGCATCTGTATGACAACATGCATGCAACATTTGATCGTTTTGGGTCAATGGTGAGTGGGTAAGAGCACAGATACAGTTCTTGCTCTTGAAAAGGCTCCTTAGAGACGTACTAGTTCAAATAGCTGCATGCTAACATTGATTTTTTGTGGATGAGTGAGCACAATCACTACAAAACATTGTGCAGGTGTGACAGATGCAGCAAACTGTTTCAATTTCCTTAGCAAAAGTTAGCCTGGTAAAGTGAACATTATAATTTGACAGATATTATGTACTAGACAACAATGTTGATCAGATACATAAAAATAGGTTACAAATTCAAGTGAACCGTGGAGGGAGCGAACAAAATGAACTGTTATTATAATGAAAAAGAAAAGGTGAGATTGCACAATTTGTAGCTTTTATCTCCATCCAACAGGAGATAGATTTAGCAAATAGCAGTGGACCGTTATTGAAAACAAATTGCACCATAATTGTAGGAAGTTCCTAAAGATTTATCTACAGGTTACAGCATAGCTAAATATATCCTAACTAAGAGACTATTTATTCAAGGAAGACACATATAACCCTTTTACATATGTGATGCTGTTTTGGTGCCACTCATAAGGTGTGACAACATGATATTATCAACTACTTTCTAGAGGCTTCTTTCACTAAACAAATTACAAGAACTGGACAAAAGCACCGATATCTTAAATTGTAATAACTGAGAGACTACTTGATTAATCATGATATCTTAAATCCCAAATGAATGCAAGTTATGAAGAGAAGAAAAGGTTAACACTGACCTCTGAACAGAGCTCCTCAATCTCATGACGGAGCTTCAGGACATACTCTGAGCTAACATCCATGTTGTTCAGCGCAGTTGCAATCTCCTCACCAGTCTTCTGAACACCAACACCACCAAGAAAGAGCTTTGCACCCAAGTTTGGTTCCCTCATCCTCCATTGCAGTGCTTCCTGGTACTCATTGCTCAGTAGGCTCGCCGCCCCACCAAGCACTGCAAAAATTGAGTTTATACTTGCAGTGGATGCTGCTCTTCGGCAGCAACTCTGCAGTACGAAGAACACATCATCCACCATTGATGTTGTGAGACCATCAGGCACTGGTTCATCAATCCGGATGGCTTTCCTTACATTCTCAACCATGAAGAATTCTTCCAGGATCACATAAAACCCAGTTAAATCCTGCACCATTTTATTGAAGCTACCATTCCGGAAGGACTTCATCGCTTGTGGTCCCAGCTCAGGTTTGACATCTCGCAATCCACGAATCTTATTCACCATAAATTCAGTATAGTCTTCACCAAGCTGTGTCAGTGACAGAATCTCCTCAAGATAGAGCTCGACCTCCCTGGGGTCAGGCCCTTCATTGCCCCCTGCAGCATTGGCCACAGAACTCACCACAGAGAGGAGGTTCTTGGTATATGAGTTTATATCCGAGGCAAGACGTGCAAGTTTCCTGTAATCAGCATATCGGCGCAGTATCTGTGTGCCCCGGGAATCACACTCCTCCTGCAGCTCAATGATGGCATAGGCAACACCATCCTCACCTCTGAGTTCACGAAGCACAGCATCATTCTCCTCAACGGCCAGGACAATGTCCTTGAAGAGACGGGTAAGGCAGCCAACAAAATCAGGCCGCTCTGAAGTAGGCTGTGTTGCAGAGGTTAACTCAGCTAGGTGCTCGAAGTCGGCACGAGCGCGCAGGGCGACGACCTTCTTGAGGTAGGCGACATAGACCTGCAATCCCTCATCAGCGAGAGCGAGGAGAGGGAAGAGGCGGACGAGGCGGAGAACGGCGGGATGGTTCAGCGCGTCCACAGCATCCGCCAGCCTTCGGCGCGCGAGCCCCTCCAGCCTGCGCTTGATGTCCAGAAGGTCGCGGCGGAGGTCGTCATCGGTGGGGAACCGGGCGTCGATGGCGAGGAAGTCGTGCGCGGCGGTGGCAGCGGCCGTGAGATCATCCGCCGCCAGAGCACGGCGTGCGGCGTCGAGCGCGCGGGACCTATCGAGCGCCGCCTCGGCGCGCGCGAGGGCGGCCTCCGCCCTGGAGTGCGCGGCGTCGAGGTGGCGCACGCGGGAGGAGAGCGCCTCGGCCAGCGCGGCGGTGGAGGAGGAGGAGTCCCTGAGCGCGGCGGCGTCGGAGGCGGCGAGCGAGAGGAGCGGCGGGGCGGAGCGGAGAAGGGAGGCGGCGGCGCGGTCGAGGTCGGGGCGGCGGGCGAGGAGCGCGTCGAGGCGGGCGTCGAGGGCGCGCTGGTAGGCGACGCACTCGTGGAGGAGGCGGGTGGCGGCGCCGGCGTCGGTGAGGGCGCGGAGGGCGACGACGGAGGCCGGGTCGCCGAAGTCGAGGGACGGGGCGGTGTCGGTGGAGGCGTCGGGGGGCAGCGCGGCATCGGGGCGTGGGGAGCGCGGGATGGGCAAGGGGTAGGACGCCACAGCCATGCCGGCCAGCCGCGGCGCCGGGGATCGCCGAGATCTCGGTGGGTAATTCGCGGGATCTGGGTGCTCTCCTCTCGGTGCTCTCTACTGTGGCCTGCCTGTGGGAGGCCTAGGGGGGTAGTTTGCCGGGCTGCGGGTGAAGGGCATTTCTGCGGGGAAAATTAATTTGCTTTCGAATGTTTCATTGTTAAGCAAACTGTTTTTATTTAAATCTAGGTTGCGAGCTATTATATTCCACATTGTGAGAGCATCTCTAGCAGGGGTACTAAACACAGCCCCTAAAGAAATTTTGAGAGGTAAGACAAAAAAATTTAGATCCAACAAAGCCCCTACTAAAGGCCCTAAAATAGGAAGGCCTCCAAATTATCCCCTCAAGCCCCCAGGCCTACGGGCCTTCTCCCTGGCCCCTATTCCACGCGCGGGAGAGAAATCCCACAGCCGCCGAGCCGCGCGCTCTTTTTTTTTCGCGCGAAAACTTCTGCTAGCGCCGCCGCTAAATCCTCTCTTCCGCATGCGCACCGCCTGGATCAGCGCCGTCCTCTCCAACTGGCCAACTCCTTCCTCGCCGCACTCCTCCCTGGCGGATCATCTCCCTGGCCGGCAACCTCCTCCCTGGCGGCCTCCTGCCCTACCGGCCACCTCCCTGCCCGGCGGCCTCCTCCCTGGCGCCCTCCCTCTCGGCTGCCAGCCCGCCCGACGCCCTCCTCCCCGGCAGACCACCTCCACGTCCTGCGCCCTTCTCCCCGTCCGACAATAGTCGAAGGTATTTTTTTTCTTTTTCCAATTGATTTATGGATGCAATTAGATAAGACTTGTTCTTTGGTGAGATTTAGCTTGCCAGGGCGATAAAATGGATGTGTGTATTTAGAAATCTATGGTTGGAGCAAGTATTTTAATCTGTTCACTTGTTCAGAGATAAGCATGCAAAAATTTATGTTCTTTTCAGATATTAGTAGGGGAAATTAATTGGTGAGAAAGAATCTGGTGGTGATCACTTTGTTGTATTTTAGTGATCTAAAAAAAATCGATAATACCACAACTCAGTAGGCAGGGGGAATGATAAATTGGGTCGAGCTAATATGGTTTTGGGCAAAGCTCCTTCCCTTTCTATTACTGAAAAAATGAATAGTTCTTAATGCACTCTGTAAATAAATAGTTCTTCCGTGCACTGAAATATCTAGACTACTTACATTGCACCTGTTCTGCAACAGTGCATATGCATGACTTTAAGACACTGTGCCACCTGAAATCTTGTGATCGTATTCTAGTTATATGCAGGTTCTTCGAGCAGGCTGTTACAAAAAGAGAAAAAAAAAAGCTGCTCTGGGTGCTATATGGTTTTCTTTTTAATTCAATTTTGTAGAGCTCTACCATAATCTGTTCTAAATTCTAATGATTGGAAAAATTTGCTACCATTATGCATTCTACCAACATATATTAGCTAGTATCTGCCATTTTTCCTGAGATTGATTAGAGAAGTTGTTAATTTATCTACTTATTGCAGTGACTAGATTGTGATGGCAAGTGAATGTGATTCCTTTGTGCGCACGATGTCCGAAGAGACCCATGTTGAGGCATATTCCTTGCCAATGCAAAATGAAGACCTTCATACTTCAACAAATGGTGCAAAAGGAAGAGCCAAAAGATCAAGCAACTTTAATCGTAAGGAGGACATTCAACTATGCATTTCATGGCAAAGCATTAGCTCGGATCCTATTATTGGCAATGAGCAACCAGGGAAGGCATATTGGCAAAGGATTGCAGAGCACTACCATGCTAACCGTGATTTTGAGTCTGATAGGAATACATTCTCTCTTGAGCACCGTTGGGGTAACATTCAGAAGGAAGTAAGCAAGTTTCAGGGCTGCTACGAACAAATTGAGCGTCGACATCCAAGTGGCATACCACATCAAGAGCTTGTAAGTTAAATTTTTTATTCATTATTATTAATAACAATCTTGTATGTATGTGAACTAGCACTTGAATTTTGCTATAGGTTCTTGAAGCCGAGGCATTGTACTCATCCAATGCACCAAAGAATAGGGCATTTCAGTTTAATCATTGTTGGCTCAAGTTGAGGAATTCTCCAAAGTTTCAAACTCTAAAATCCCACAAGAGGCCAAGGTCTAGGAAGTCTTCGACCCCAATTGAGAGTGCTGGTGAAGAAGATGAAGAAGGTGATGATGCTAGGAAGAGTACAACTCCTGATTTATCACAGCCAAGTGCTAAAAAGAGACCAATGGGTAGGAAGGAAGCAAAGGAGAAGTTGAAGAATGGAGGAGAAGATGGACCATACAAGGAGGCGATGAAAGATTTGCTTGACGCCAAAGAGAAAGAAGCTAAAGTGAAAGAAGAGAGATGGAAGGAAACTAAGGAGATTCAAGAGCACAAGCTCTTATTTGCTGAGCGTAAGTTAGTGTGGGATCAAGAACAGAAGATCATGTTTTGTGATGTTTCCACCTTGGAACCAGATGTGAGAACATATGTGTTGGCTATGAGGGCACAAATTGCAGCTTCAAAGGTGGCTGCCCTCAATGGTGGATTTGATGGTAGTAGTGGCTTTGGAGGTGAGTTTGGTGGTGGTAATTGAGAAGTTTGAGCACTTCGATGGAATAAGTTGGATCATATTGGATGATCCACATGTCCTTTGCTAGTAGGATATGTCATTTCCACGATTGGTTCTTGGAGTCCTTTTGTGTTAATTTTTGCAATTATCTAAGTGTCATTTGCTAGTAGGATATATATTACTTTTAGATTTGTTATTTTTATGATCGAACCATTCATTCTTTCTTGTAGGATGTGTTATTTTTAAATTATATAATGCATCTCCGCAAAATAAAAATAATGCATCACTGGGTTCACATAGCATATTGTGGTGATATGGAGACAGACAATGACATGTTGGTGAGCAATTTTTGTTTTCATTGGTGAATTATAAATCTTGGTTGCGTGTTGTTGTATATGGCATTGTGCCTACACCATATTTACATGTTTGAAAATTTTGATTTTCGATTTGAATTGTGGTGTTTGAAATTGTAAATTTAACTATGGTTAAATTATGCGCGTTAGAAATATTTATGTTTAATTATTGTGGTGTTAAACATAGTGTAAAAAGGGATTGCATGCTAAAATAAAAGAGAAACAATAGTAGGGGCTAAGAAATAGGGGCTATTGCTAGAGTTGGAGGTATTTTTTGGGTCCTTGGGAGATGGGGGCAGCCCTCATTTAACTTTTAGGGGCTTTAAAATAAGGCCTATTGCTGGAGATGCTCTAATGTTATGAATATAGAACTAACCATCTACGACTCCCTGTTAGGATGTATGAGTAATTTTTAAGGCCTCCTTTAAATTATATGAATAAAGAAAGCAAAGAAATAGAAAAAACGCAGTATTCTAACTAGAATAGAAGTGTTAAACTGATGATTGCAAAACATATAAAAACACAGGAATGACCGCTTGATTGGACCGTAGGAAAAACATAAGAATCGGATGAGAGAGATACACTCAAAGTAAATTTTCCAAGAGCTTTGAGCTCTTGCTGAGTTTCTTTCAAAATCTCTATAGGATTATTCATTCCATAGGAATTTCAAATGATTAGAAATGATTCAATCCGTTAATTAAAAGGCATTTATAGAAATTTTTCCTATAGAATTGAAATCATCCCAAAATTCCTATATATTTCCTCCAAATCAAAGGGACCCTAAGTGAGTACCATTTACAACCAACTCCCTCTATTTCATATTATAAGTCGTTTGACCTTTTTCTTAGTCAAAATTCTTTAGCTTTGACCAAATTTATAGGAAACAAATTAGCAACATCCACGACATGAAATTAATTTTATTAAATTTAATATTAAATATATTTTGATAATATGTTTGTTTTGTATTGGAAATATTAGTATGTTTTTCTACAAACTTGGTTAAACTTTAAGAAGTTTGACTAAGAATAAAATCAAACGGCTTATAATACGAAACGAAGGGGGTACTCAAATAAAAACAGTTTGCTTAACACTTACTCCCTCCATCCCATAAAAACCAACCTATAATTGAATGGGACATTATTGACGGTTATTAAGTACTAGTTTCAACCGCCAACTAGCACAACTAATAAAGGGAACCTTAGGGCCTGTTTGGGGGAGCTTCTTGCTGCTGCAACTTCTATCAAAATCAGAAGCTCCCCCAAACAGTCCAGCTTTTGGTCCAGATTCTGAGAAGCTGTAGTTGTAGAATCTAGAAAATGAACTAGAATCCAGAAGCTGGAAAATCCAGCTTTTCCAAATTCTCAGAAGCTGACTACCAACCAGCTGCTTCTCAGAATCTTAAGCTCCCCCAAATAGGCCCTTAGCATGTCTTACACGCATACCAATAATAAATAATGTAGTTGTATTAGGATTGGAAAATTAATGTGGATGCATGAATTATACGCCAAAGTGAAGGAGAAATTAAGCCGGCATGCAAAGAAAAACACCTCCAGTGAATCACGTGCAACCACACGGATTTAGGGGCCCTCAAGTCAGCTCAAACCGACTCAAAGTGGGACCAAACACCCGGGTACCTTCATAGGGGCCCACATGTCAGTCCCTCACCAAAGTTGGTGAGCAGAGTGGTTGAATGGGTTCGGCCGAACCAATCTTGGTGCACCTGACACCCATCTTCCACGTGGCGACTCCTCAGCGCTCCCCAATGACGGTTATGCGCAGTTAGCGGCCCCTAACTGCCATACAACCGTCATTACAAGGCTATAAATAGAGCTTCTCTCCCTCACATGCAACACACACCTCATGGAGCAATTCACTCTTTCGCTTTATATTCTCTATAGTTTTTAGTAGGAATTAAGCTTAGGAGTTTCGATCCTATAGTCTTCTTGGAGTTCTGGATATGTCTCTAGTACTCTCTTCTTTGTGTAAGATTATAGTCGAATTAATAGTATTATATTCTTTATTTATATATGCTCATATTTTATTTTATATAATTCTTTATTGAGTATATTTCCTATGAGTAGTATATACTTTGTATATTTGTTTCATCCTAGGCTAGTTGATCCATGCTAAAGTAACGGTCCAATGACCTTCATAGGTTGCTCTAGCTCTAACTTGTTCATCCCCTAGGGAAGATAGTGATATTGTTTACTAGCATAAACGTGGTGTTTAGGCTAGATAAATATCGTTGGATGTGGGTGTATCCCACGGAAAGTGAGGTAGGCGGCAAGTGGTGATAGCCATGTCCATCCTTTGTATTCCTCCATGTTCGGGTATGACATAAGAGTGCATAAATGCCATAACTACGTTGGCAAACTAGCAGTGAGTGGTTTCTCTATAGTACCTGGGCGCCTGGAACTATATCCTACATTGTAAGTATGTATATGTTAAGTATATGCGACACGATTAGTTTTGAAGTACAATTGTATCGTAATATCCTTAGGCTATTCCTACTAGACAATCTTTAGAGATGAATCTCTTGTGTGTGTACCTATCAAACCTTATCATAACCCCTGTCTAGATTGCAGAAATATAAATACAATACCCTTGGGAATACTCATGGGTGAAATGCTACAACGATATCTGTGCACTTGCGGATTTATCTGTGATAATAAGAAATATCAATAGACATATCTAGTACAACGGATATGGACATACTCCTGTCCAGATTCGCTGTACTAAATATGTCCCATCCAATACTAGGTTGGTTTTTTTATGGGATGGAGGGAGTATATTAATTTGTAGTGGTATACCCACAAAGTAAAATTTATAACTCTAACATGTAATATATTATAGTACGCTACTTGCACATGAATTATAACACAAGTTAGATAACATAATCTAATCTTAGGATGTGTTTGGTTGGAAGGATATAATTAAATAAAAATGTCCATGCAACTTTTATATGTGTTTGGTAAGAGTGAATGGGATGGTCAGGAGAGCTAAAGAGCTAAAATTGGATTATTCTATGAAGATGTTGGAATTCATTCGATAAAATTGACTCGATATCCACGTCCTAGGGTCTGTTTGGCACAGCTCCAGCTCTACCTCTCCTAGATCCCAGCCAAACAGTTTCAACTCCACCTAAAATGGGAGCGGAGCTAGGTGGAGCGCTCTCATAAAATGAGGCTGTTATACAACTCCACCCTAGACTTAACTCCTGAAACTAAATTTAGGAGTTAGAGTTCTACCAACAGGCCCCTAATTTTGATTATTAATAATGGGGCAATTGCAAATTTACCACTACTTTGAATCATTATTGCAAAACTGCCACTAGAAAATTGCAAAAATGCCACTAGAACTGTCATTCGAGTGGTATCCTTGCAATATTCAAAAAACCGGTGGCAAATTTGCAAATGCCCCATTAATAATTGATTAATAATAAGTATTACATGTTGTTAGTTAATAATTAACTTGTGAAAATTAATGTCGATTAGACATAATTAGTCAATTTTATTATTAACTAGTATAGATTATGGCAAGAATAATTATAATTAACATAGAATAATTAGTAGTTTATGTTTTCATTCAATCCGTCCTCTTCTAAAAAAATGAATGGCCATATCCACCCTATCAAAAGAAAAAAAAGATTACTATATCCCTTATAATATGGATGCCCATATCCTATCTACAATCTTGATCATGAACCAAAGACACCCTTTTATACTCTTTGCATTTCAAAATATGGTTCTCTAATGTTTGTTGCAAGAAATAGATATGTAAATTTTGTGAACAATGTTACTATCACTTTGTCGGATGAAGAAATGACCAAAATAAAAGTTGTATGTCTTGATGAGTTCTACAGCTTTTATGTTCATGACTTTTTCAGCTAAAATTATTTACTACAAAATATCATTTGAAGTTTTGAAATTCAAATTTTAGTTGATAAAACAAATTCACAAGAAAAAATGACCAAAATAATAGCAGAAAAAACACAATAAAATGATAGAGCATGATTTTAGAAACATTTAGGAAAAAGAATCATCCAATTTAGAGTTCATATGAGTGAGATAAACTAATTTCAAATTTTAAAATTTTATTTTCGCATACGGCTCCTTAATACACCCGTATGGAAAAATTGATTTTTCTATGTGGGCTCTTAAGTGGTCCGCATGCAAAAATGAGCTTATTTTGGCGTCTTAAGGAGTCGTATGCGAAAACACCGACGCAGCAAGTTGTGGTCCGTTTGCAAAAATCATAGGGTCTCATACACAAAAATCTTTTGTGTAGTAGTGATGGGTTTTTATATTCCGATTAATATTCATCACCGTATTCGTTTCGCTTATTCGCTTCGTATTTCTATTCGATAATATTCGATTTCGTTTTCATATCCGGGTTTTCGATTCCGAAAAAAATTATGAAAACGAGTATGGTAAAGCTAGTTTTTGACCGTATTCAATCCATTTTCATCCCTATATATTATGTTATATTATTACTTGCATGTGGCAGCCCTTAGTTTAGTTGAGTTTGTTTCCTCTTTTTGCAGCAATTCAATTTAGAAACTCCTGTCTTTTAGTCAAGCCACATACGCGTAAAGCAAATCCTAAACTCCCTCCTATCCTACCAAAACTTTAGTTTCATGCTTCGCACTAACATGATATCATTTTTTGAACTTATCTGACATGACAACAATATTTCCATCACTCTTACTGTAGGCTAACAAAAAATGCACTTTACAAAGTTTAAAAAGGGATATCTATGTATTGGACAACCCACCAACCACATAAAACCAAATTAAAGATGCTCCACATGTACTTTATTGCATCATCTTGCTAAAAGAAATAGATATACCTCATGACTCTAATTAAACACGTCATTCTGCATAGATAGATAAGGTAATATTTTCCTTTTTTATATATTCTCCTTTGTTTTGGGTATATAAACCCTCCTCCTCCTACATAGCTAGTCATCAGTAGAGAGAAGCTAGCAGGTGACTACCATGGCATCCATGTCTACCATTGTACCACTATGTCTAAGCCTCCTCCTCTTCTTTCAAGTATCGATCGCACAATTTTCATTTGGTGGAGGCCCACTATATAGCTCACGTGGGTTTAGGGGTGACTCAGTGAGCCAACACCAATGTCGTTTTGAGCATCTCGCCGCTCTAAAGGTGACTCACCGAGACAGATCTGAAGCCGACTTTATTGAGTACTACAACACCGAGGTACGCAACGAGTTCCGTTGTGCTGGAGTGAGTGTGAGGCGCTTGGTCATTGAGAGTAGGGGCTTGGCTCTGCCTGTGTATGCCAATGCTCACAAGCTTCTCTACATCATCCAAGGTCTGTATACCATAGTCCAACATATTATGTATGTACACACGACTAGTTGTTTTCGAACTACATTATTGTTCACAACATGTGAGGTTTTTTAATTGTGTGAGTACATGTTGTAGGTCATGGAGTGTTTGGGATGGCACTACCAGGCTGCCCGGAGACATTTCAATCGGTGCAGTATGCATTTGAGCAGTCTAGCACCCAAAAATTGAGCGATGAGCACCAGCAGCTTCACAAGTTCCGCCAAGGGGATGTCATTGCAGTGCCAGCTGGAGTGGCCCATTGGTTGTACAACAACGGTGATTCTCCTATGGTTGCTTTTTTGGTCATCGACTTTGGAAACAATGCTAACCAGCTTGATCCAATACCAAGGGTATGCCCATATATACATCTCACAAGCATAATTAATACTATTCCATATTTCTAACTTTAGTTTAATGAGTGGTACCACTAATACATATTATATAATGCAACTCAATATATTGAGTAGGAATTTTTCTTGGCCGGAAAGCCTACGAGCTGGCAGCAAGAGCAGTATTCGTACCAGGCTGAACAACAAAGCGACAATCAAAACATCTTTGCTGGATTCAATCCAGATTTACTTGGTGAGGCCCTAGGCGTGAGTAGGCAAACCGCCATGAGGCTCCAAGAACTGAATGACCAAAGAGGGGTGATTATCAGAGTTGCGCAAGGTCTCCAAGCACTACATCCTTCTTTCCAAACTGAGCAGGTCCAAGAGGAACAGTCCCAAGAACAGCAACAGCAACCAACCTGGTCAGGCAGAGGTTGTGCGCAAAACAATGGTCTAGACGAGATTATGTGTGCTTTTAAGCTGAGCAAGAACATCAATAATGCACAATCCACCGACATCTTCAACCCCCGCGGTGGAAGGATCACAAGGGCCAATAGCTAGAATTTTCCAGTTCTCAACATCATCCAGATGAGTGCCACAAGAACTGTGCTCCAGAGTGTGAGTATAAACCATGACAAAGTTAATAAGATTTTTATGCACAAAATAATGTAGGCATAGTACTTATTGCACTGATCTATTTTCCTCTTCTTTGTAGAATGCTTTGCTCACTCCACATTGGACAGTGAACGCGCATATAGTGATGTATGTGACTGCTGGTCAAGGGCGCATCCAGGTGGTTGATCACCGTGGTAGGACTGTCTTTGATGGTGAGCTTCGCCAACAACAAATCCTGCTAATCCCACAGAACTTTGCAGTTGCAGTGAAGGCACGCCAGGAAGGATTTTCCTGGGTGTCCTTCAAGACTAGCCACAATGCCATAGACAGTCAGATCGCTGGAAAGAGATCCATTCTTCGTGCTTTGCCAGTTGATGTGGTCGCTAAAGCCTACCTACTTTCAAGGGAGGAGTCTAGGAGCTTGAAGTTCAATCGTGGTGATGAGATGGCTGTCTTTTCACCAAGGCTTCACCAACAATTGTACGCTGAGTGGCAGAACAGCAAATAATTAACCAAATATGTATTCTATCCTATGTTAGTGATTTGAATAAAGTAAAGGAGGGATCAACACCTCTTTTTCAATAAAAAAATATCAACCAAGAATCGGAAAGAATTTTATAGTGTAATTGCGTTTTTAATCTAGGACCTCTTGAGAACTCAACAGCAACTAGCAATCTTAACCCTTAGATTATCCGGGAGTCGCCACCACCACTATGAAATTTGTAGACTCGCCACCACCACTATGAAATTTGTAAGTAGTAGAGAAATGGAAATGGGATCAGATGCTGAATTGAGGAAACCCCACGAACGCCACGAAATCAGTAATCAACGCTCCAACTCAGTTCTTGCTCCAATTCCCTCTTTTGTGCAAAAGCTCCAACTTATCCGGACTAGTCAACAGTTTTACCTGAGGCTGAGGGAGATAAACGTTCAAATGTTATACAGAGGCTGACTGCATTACTCGAGAGATGCATTTAAAGAATCACTTAGCACCACCAAAATTTATATTTAGTCTTATCTGTGAGGGACTAAACAGAGTTCAAAACAAGTGAGTCCAGCAGGTTATATACACTCATCTTCAGAAAGAACTAACCAAAATTCGTATAAAATGGTAATGAATTAGTCTTGAAATATTATGTTAGCATCAGTTGCAATGGCAGATCGACGGAGTTTGACATCCACAAACATTTTAGCACGGCTATAAAAATATGTTATCCAGCTTGGCCACTACGCCCAATGGATGGTTAACACTTCTCAAAGCTGGGATTGCAAGAACATGGCTCCATAACAAAGCTCATTAACCCCACAGAAAGAAAGCTCACCAAGGAACCTTCTATTTGTCCTGAAAAGACAAACGTCGCAGTGTAAATACAAGATAATGAAAAAACGGCAGACACTACATTTTAGCCATATGTACTTACAGACCACCAAGAGCACCTTGAATCTGTTGTGTTAAAATTAGACCACCTAGAGAACCTTGAATCTGTTGTGTTCAAATTTGTGATTTTCATTGTAAGCTATACTCAGTGCACAGCTCTAAAAGTGTATTTGCAATCTAGAATTGGGTTGTACAGGTACCACTGGTGCAATCTTCTTATGATGATTGAACTCCAAATTACAACCCACAACAGAACTCAGCAAAATGTTTTCATTTACTCACCTCAAGCTCTGGAAGGTCTAAACATTAAATGTTGAGCTCCCAGCAGGTGGAACAGCAACAACTTTTCCTACAGCAACTGTCTTACCTGCAACAATTTAAGATAAAACGTGCTTCATGGAGTCGGAATATATTGAACTTACTAAGACGGAGAGAAACAACAACATACTTTATGGTCGGATTACTTGGACTTGGTGAAAAAACATGCATAGAAAACCTAAGTACAACTTTCAATAGGGTGAAAAGCAGCCAAAGAGAAGGAAACAGAGTATTTGATGACTGCTTGGTGCTTGCCCATTTTGCCTGACTAGCTATGGTTAAATTTTGCAGCCAACTGCACTTGCATTACCTTAAAGTAATATATTATTGAATTTGCGAGAAATAAACTAACAGAGATTCTGATTATATAGAATTAGTGAATGATATTAAATAGGTTCATTTAAATGAGCATTAGATACCTTAGGAAAAATAATAACAGCAGAAAGAGTATATCATCACAATCCTTCTTATAATAATTTCGATAGGCAAACACACTCAAAATCATGACTTATCTGTGTCCGATTAGACGTAATTCCTATGTTATATAATTTTAATGTCACATTTAGAAAAGAAGACTTGGTGCTACAGGTAAAAATAAAAACATCTTTGGTACATCAGTGTTGCATGATTTAAACAGAGCCAAACATTGATTTCAGAAAAGGATGTATATCCTTGCCTTCAGTCCGGAGCGTAAATCTTCCAAGCTGAGGAAACTCAGAGAAGTTCTCGATACAAATCAAATTATTGACCTAATATAAAACAGAGGTGATTAGAAAATGTAGCCCTCAGACTTTAATGCCAGAGCGATGGATCCATATGGTATCTGAGCAGTTCACTGAGGAAGTTTCAAGGATAACCTGAACACGGCAAACGACGACAGCTCCATTCTTCACAAAAAGAGGTTTCCTCTTTGACTTCTTTTTTTTTATGTCACCTTCTTTCCTCCTCTTCAAATCAATTTCTTCTATGAGTTCAACAATCTCACATTCCTCAACTACAGAGTGGATATGCAGCACTGCCTTGTAACCAGCAGTAAAAATTGCCTAGTACATCAAACATCACATTCATAAGAAATTCGAATACACAAGAAGTCAGTCCAGAGTTAAGACACCCTGGATTTGGAATTTAAAAAGAACAAGAAGGCTCATAAGACCCTTGCAATATTTTTTGTAGTAATTATATTAATGCTATCTAGATGTTCAAATATCAAAGAAACTTCATCTGGTATAAACCGTTCCGAACGGGAGTGATTATTGAATTACTAATATCCATGTGACAATAATTTCAATCTAAATAATTTTGGTTTCTGAGCTCCCAAAACAAAATTAACCAAATAGGAGACATAAACTGGAGTTTATTTACCAAATAATATCAGTCAGTTAACCTGATGCATTGACCAAATAATTGTGGCTTACTCCAATGTATATTGATCAATATACTAAAATTTGTAAACTTGAATCCACTGTGGAATATACAGTATAGAACATACACATAATGCAGGAAAATTTGTAAAACTATTGGTTTCGGAAAAAGGAAATCATGTATAATCATATTGAGCCCTATCAGTTGATAAAATAGGATGAACTAACAGTCTAAAAAGATGTCTTAACTTATAACAGGGCTATGAAGTAAGAAATATTTTAAATTCTCATGTTTTATTTTTCACTTAAAACTATAAGCCAAAAAATGCCATTCCATAAAAGTACAGTTTTTATTTTATTTTTTTACAAATTGTCAACATCCAAAACAAAAATATCTATATCCATGTCCAACACATTCCCAAATTCATGCTCGAAAGACCAGATCACCAGTTCTAGTATTTTATACTTTCCTTTTCCAAACATATGTTTTCGTAAATAAACTATGCAGGACAAAGAAAATCAGCTGTGATTCTATCTAAGAGAAGATTGCAAACTAAGCAAGGCACTCCTGGCAAATCATAGTAGGCCTTGCAGGAACCAGCATTCAAACCAAGGTATTGAACACAGAGAACTAACAAATGTCAAGTGAGAATAGTCAAGCATGAAATATCCTATGCTATCGTCTGTAAGTGTTACTTACATTGTCAAGCAACTCCAATATCTGTAGTTGAGCACGAAATTCAGATATAGCACTAACAGGATTTTCTGCAAGAACAACGTTGCCAAGAATCAGTATACTGAAAAACAACTTCCAGTGCTTGAAAAATGTCCAAGGTAAACAAACACCTAGACCATAGTCACCAGTTCATGAATAGCTAATTATTTCAGAAAGCTCAACAGTAAACATGTGCAGAAAATAATCCACCCAGGGACTGTTTGCAAACCAGCTCTTTTTTTTTTCTGAGCTAGGCTCAAAAAAGGCACTTCGGTGGGATAGTAAACCACTAAATTTAGCCAGGTTTGAGCAGATCCAACCAGAAAAAAAAATCTGGTCCAGACACAAGTTTAAAATTCTCCAGAGGCACATCTCGTCTGCACATTGGTTAATTAAACCCTTCTACGTACATTTGGGTGAATAAAAACTGCTATATCACCATGTAAGAAAATGCAATTTTTTATAAATAATGTAATCTTCCATGGTAAAAACTTAGTAAGAATAAAATAAATGGTAAAATGAATGAAGAATTTCCTCTACTTTTCTGCTTCAGGAAACAAACAAAAAGGCATCATCAAAGTATCAAACAAACAAAAGAATTCAAAGACAAATGGAGCACGGATAGACAGGATCCCTTTCAACTTGCAAAAATAGTGATATATCCTAGAACCTAAATGCATCACTTTTAACTAGAGCAATATATAATCAAGTGTTCAGAATGCACAAAGTTCAGCCAGAATCAGTACCACTTATCAAGGAGAGTACTAAAGAAAGCAGCACCAACAAAGTAATTATCTTGCTGCTCCCGACTACTTGGAAAAGACACTTACTAATGCTTGATAGCACAAAACCAGCAGTGATGTCATCCTCTTCAATTCCTGACAGTTTGACTCGGACATTCTCACCAGGTGCAGCACTTCTCACTCTATCTTCATCACAGTGTACACTAATGACTTTCACGTTGGCCTGTGAGCAAAATAGAATGTGCACCAAGATCAGATTTATAATTCCAGCAAAAGCTGATGCACTTGCTACTTGAAAACATCAACAATAAAAGATGTTACCTTGTTTGGCATAACCAACATGTTATCACCCTCCGAGATAGTTCCTGATTCAATTTTTCCCATGACCACTGTGCCCATGTCTTTGTATTTATCAATGATTGGCATCCTGCATATATATGTGCCTTACTGTTATTAGTTAAACTATCCATCATAATTATTCAAGTAAGAAAATGCAATCTGAACAGAAAGGAAATAAAAGTTTTTCTCCTAAAGAAATGCCATTTCATCTTATGAAACCAAGGTTCGGTAAGTACCACCTGACATGAACAGGGGTTTTCTTAGTCCATTTAAATTGTACTTGACAAGCTAAGAAACCTGGTCGTCTAACCTTACTGGACCTTTTGGATCTCGTAAAGGGACTTGAATGCAATCTAGAACTTCGAAAAGACATGGACCACTCCACCAGCTACAATTGCTTTTATCCATTCTTGTCTTCATATTAGTCCCCAAAAGACCAGAGATTGGCAAGAAGTGGACATCTGAAAAGAATGCCAGAAAAAGCAAGGTAAAAGTAATGTATTGTGGATAATTCCATCATTATCATAACCACAGATCATCACATCATTGTTATTACCACACTCAGTTGAGCAAGGGCTCCATTCAACAAGTGCTGGATATAATATATGACGCTATGTCAACACCCAAAAGCCAATCTCTAACTAGTAACCACACGAATACCAAAAAGCTTATTTTGTTTGGACAAAGAAAACATATGAGTTTCTTTTGATTATTATATGTAACATTTGCAGGACACAGGAAACATCATAAAAAGCATATCATATACTCCAAATGTATCCAAAAATAGTGCTTCGTGAATAAACTCCCAGCATTTTTAGTATAATTAGGGCTAAATTAGGAACAATCACAAAGCTAAACAATCTAAACCAGGAAGTCACCAAATAATGGGAAGGAAAACTATGGAATGTTACTTACTAAACTTTTTGCAGATGGCATAATAGGCAACAATAAAGAATAATATTCCTGTCTTAGAAGGAAATAACCATGTAGATGAAAGATGTCTTACCATGCTTAGAAAAAGAAGATGTGAAGCTTCAACTTTGTGATAAGCTAAGGCATCAAAGATTTAACAAGCAATGAAGCAAACCACAACAGAACTGTCTAATACCCCATCCTATTTGATCTTTTGATTTCTACAAAACTAGCCAAATACCCATGCGCTTCAATGTCTACAATGTGTTCCATAGATTCTAAACTTGGAAAATGTATATATTTTTCATTTGAACATCAATCACTAAATAATTCTATTACAAATGACATGCGCAAAGACATAACTTTTCAGAGAAGATTCTTGGATTAATAAAGCATAGGTGCAGCGCGGACCGTGGATGGTAGACTCATGACCACCACTAACTTCTTTCATAATAGAATAGAAATTTCAAATTAAATTGAGAAAAATGAACAGATTTTGTGAAGAGATATCTCCAACCTAAAATTAACGCATAGAGAAAAGAGTGAAAGATGATCCCATTCATAATTATATACCTTTCTTAACATTGTACCCTGATGATTTAAGAAAAGGAACCATTTTTCCTTCTATTTCATCATATCTGAAACCACATAAGTGAAATAATGATTTTTCTTTACCCAACATGCTTATTTAAGAGGAACAAATTCTTCTCAGTGGATTTGTTATCAATGTATATACCGTTCTTTCGACCAGCCAACAGTAGATTCATCCATCTTATTTATGACCACAACCAACTTAGAAACACCCAAAGTTTTTGCCAGAAGCACATGTTCGCGAGTCTGCCCGCCTCTTTCATACCCAGTTTCAAATTCACCTTTCCGAGCAGATATCACCTGAGGGAAACAATGATACATTCATATTATATCCCAGCAGAAAAGACGGTAAATATGATTTCGAAAGATTGCGCCACTGCTTACAAGAACACCAATGTCTGCTTGAGATGCACCGCTTATCATGTTTGGAACATAACTTTTGTGGCCCTGTATGTCAGAAATATATTGAATACAACATTATATAAAAGAACACAGAAACCATTATAAAATGGATCAAATAATCATCAGAAAGTAGCATGTCTTGTAATAAGGTGTAATGACTTGGTTAGCAAAAACACCCTGAATTGTTGCTACTTTGCTACACAAAGGTGACACTCAAAAATGAGCTGTACAAGCATGAATGAAGACATAGTTTCAGTCAAACAAACAGAGCAACAAACACATACAATCCCTATAAATCAATCCTAAGACCAGTTTGAGACGGACGTAAGGTACCAAGGCAGTTGTTGCTTCCACATGAACGATTCCAATTATTTCAAAAGGGGGAAAGGAAATACATCACCATTTTATGTTTAAGTCTTCTGCTTATCTAAGTTTTACGTTCAAGTTATTTAAATGTATGAAACTATCTTAAAATATGATAGAATCACAACAGTTGCTCCATAAAGCAACACAAAATCTGTTTCAAAATATTGAAATATAAAACTATGACCTTGCATTACTATGGTATATGTAAATAAGTACAGTATATGAGGCAAAAAAAAAATTTACCGGTGCATCTAAAATGGTAAATCTTGTAGTTTCTGTCTCAAAGTGTGCTCTCCCAACTTCAACTGTCTTCCCCTGAATAGATTCAAAATAACACATTGTAAGTACAATAAGTGATATTTGACAGAATTATTCAAGCCACGACAAAAATCAAATTTCATGAATTAGAAGTATGATGACCTAGAAGCAGGATTGGAGCTGGAGTATCCATAGACACCATTTAAACTTTGTTGGATTCGGAAATGTTTGGATTTTAGTTATGTAACAGGCAGGCCATGACCATTGATTTGCATGGTTCATATTACTGGTCTATCCAATGATCCAAGAAAAACAGGTGCAATGATGTTACCCAATAATCCAAACCCAACCATCAGAATATAAGCAAGCAGATGGCAGCAAACTCTTGAAGGCAGTAGAGAGATGACCACACAAGTAATCTCAAGATATCACATGCTCATCACTGTCGAAACAGGATGTGGGAGTGGCCATCAAGGATCATCAGTACTGGAACTAGAACAAACCTTAGGTTCCATTTTGATGGATAAGTCTTTGTGGTCCTTGGTCATGGTTCTTTATTTTGCTTTTGGGTAGTTTCACCTTTTTCAGGACAGCATCACTCCTTAAGCATATTTTCAGTTGCTAGGACAGCTGCAGTTAGTAGGACAGCAGCAGTTAGCATCTCCTTTATATCTCCTTTATGCTTTATTAAGTTTGGATGCCCTCTAGGACAGCATCCCATTCAAATTTTGAATTTTAGACTAGGAGGGTGCAGCAATAGGCTTGCAGCCAGCTATGGCTATATATATGTATCCAACCTCCCTCGGGTTGGTATGGCTTTGAGTTTGCGAATGGAAGAAAACTAGAAAAATTGCCCCATCTTGAGTGCCATCCTCTTATCAATGAGAGTAACCATTGAAATTCTAACATCTGGTATCAGAGCCACACTTTCCTGTAGGCTAAACATCTACTGTTCCACCCCTTCCCAAGCTCGGTTGAGCTCTCAGCCAGCAGCAGCAGCAGCACCGGCTGCTCTTCCTTCCCCTTTCCCTTCCCCCTCTCCACGCAGCAGCCCCCCGGAGGCGCGCCATGTCCGATGTTCGGTCTCGGCGTTCGGTCGCCTCGAGCACTCGGCGTAAGCAGGACGCCAAGCTCGCCGCAGCAGAAGAGCACAGGCGAGCAACGGCTCAGACCGCTGCAGCAGCAGCGAGGGCGGCCAGACTGGCGGCAGTGGAGTTGGCAGCAGCCAGGGCAGAGGCGGAAGCAGAGGCGGCGGAAGATGCGGCACGTGCGGCGGAGGTAGAGGTTGAGACCTTGCGCAGCAACATCAACGGCTCCATCGGCGACATCACCGCCGACAGGGAGCTTGAGGAGCTAGCAAGAGGGAGGGCGCGGGAGCGGGCAGAGCGTGCTGCCCACCCCCACGGCGGCGGCGGCCCAAGGGACCGCGCGCCCGCCGATGGGAACCCAGACGGGCACGGGTGTGCCGGCGGCAGCCCGGAGCGCGCGCGCGGCGGCGGCGCTCCGAGTGGAGGTGGCTGGTTCGACAGAGAGCGTGGCCCTCGCAGGCAGCGCGGCTCTCCCTCCCCTGACCGGCGCCATGGCCACCACGGCGTCCAGACGGTGGTCAGGGACTTTGGTCCCGGCGGTTGGTGGCCTACCCTCACCAAAACCAACTATATCGAGTGGGCCGCGGTGATGAGGGTGAGGCTCCAGGTGCGGCACATGTGGGAGGCAGTCCGGTACGGCGACGTCGACTACGACGAGAATCGACGGGCGCTGGATGCCCCCATCGCTGCAGTCCCGCCCGAGATGCAGTTCTCGCTTTCCCAAAAGCGGACTGCCAAGGAGGCCTGGCAAGTCCACACTGCAGGCACTCCGCAAGGAGTGGGAGAACCTGGCTTTCAAGCCAGGTGAGGATGTTGATGACTTTGCCCTCCGTCGCAACACTCTTTTGCAGAAGATGGTGCAGTACGGCGACAACCTATGATGAGGAGAGAGCCGTCGAGAAGCTGTTCCGCTGCGTCCCAGAGAAGTATGGGCAGATCGCTCGCTCGATCGAGTCTCTGCTGGATCTCTCCACGATGTCGATCAAGGAGGCGATAGGTCGCCTCAAGGTCATCGACGGCCATGAGCCACAGCCTCTCTCGGGGCCTATCACCATTGGCGGGAAGCTCCATCTCACTCGGGAGCAGTGGGAGGCCAGCCAAGGTGATGGGAGGAAGGGGGAGTCCTCCTCCTCCCCGACGGGCGGTCGCAAGTAGCGCATGGCATGCGGAGGTGTCCAGCTGCGGTGGGCGCAAATACGTGCCGAGGGTGGCGCCCGCAGAGGCGCCCAGGGCGGCGCCGCCGGCAACCACAAGCCAGCACGAGACGACGCCTACCGCAACTGTGGCAAGCTTGGCCATTGGGCCAAAGACTGTCGACAGCCACGACGCGGCCAGACCCACATCGCATAGGTGGAGGAGGAAGAGCCGGCTCTGCTCTTGGCACACGCAAGCATCGAGCTACCTCCGGCGGCACCGGCCGCAACGGCTTTCCTCCACCTTGATTAGCTGAAGGTACTCGTCTCCCTCTGCAACGGCTCCAGCAACGACAAGGCTGATGGGTGGTACCTCAGACACCGGCGCCTCCCATCACATGACCGGCCGACGGGAGTTCTTCATCGAGTTTGACTCCAGCGTCCGAGGCTCCGTCAAGTTTGGGGACGCCTCCGGCGTGGAGATCAAGAGCGGTGGCTCCGTCACCTTCACCGCCAAGTCCGGTGAGCACAGGCTGCTCACCGGAGTTCACTACATCCCCGCGTTGAGGAACTCTATCATCAGCGTAGGACAGCTAGATGAGAACGGCTCACGCGTGCTGGTCGAGCACGGAGTCATGAGGATTTGGGATCGCCGTCATCGCCTTCTTGCCAAGGTAAACAGAGGCACTAATCAACTCTACATCCTCAGCGCGCAGGTCGCACAACCAGTTTGCCTCGCCGCTCATCGGGACGACGAGGCGTGGCAGTGGCACGAGCGCTTCGGGCACCTCCACTTTGAGGCCCTGAAGTGGCTCAGTGCCAAGGAGATGGTGCGAGGCCTGCCGTGCCTTGACCACGTGGAGCAGCTCTGCGATGTCTGCGTGGTAACGAAGCAGAGGCGGCTCCCCTTTCCACAGCAGACGAGCTTCCGAGCCAAGGAGCGGCTCAAGCCCGTGCACGGGGACTTGTGTGGTCCAGTGACACCGGCCACACCAGGAGGACGACGTTACTTCCTGCTGCTCGTCGACGACCTCTCCCGCTACATGTGGGCGATGGTCCTCGGCAGCAAGGGAGAGGCTGCGGACGCCATCAGGCGCGCGCAGGCTGCTGCGGAGGCCGAGTGCGGCCGCAAGCTGCGCGTGCTGCGCACCGACAACGGCGGCGAATTCACGGCAGCTGAATTCGCGTCGTACTGTGCTGATGAGGGCATTCAGCGCCACTACACCGCGCCGTACAGCCCGCGGCAGAACGGCGTCATCGAGCGGCGCAACCAGACGGTTGTGGGGATGGCTCGGGCTCTCCTCAAGCAAAGGGGGATGCCGGCCATCTTCTGGGGAGAGGCAGTGGTGACGGCCGTCTACATCCTCAACCGTTCGCCTAGCAAGGCACTCGACGGCAGGACACTGTACGAGGCTTGGCATGGGCGCAAGCCGGCGGTCTCCCACCTGCGGGTCTTCGGCTGCCTCGCGTTCGCCAAGGAGCTTGGCCACATCGGCAAGCTCAACGACAGGAGCACCCCAGGGGTTTTCATCGGCTACGCGGAGGGCTCGAAGACCTACCGCATTCTCGACCCGGAGAAAGCGTGTGCGCACGGCGCGCGACTAGTGTTCGACGAAGGGCGAGGGTGGGCATGGGACAAAGCGGACGATGCTTCGACTCTGACGTACGACGACTTCACTGTCGAGTATGTCCACTTCGAGGGAGCTGGGGGAGTAGGCAGCTCTTCTTCACCGAGCATGTCTACCCCAGCCCCCGAGCCTCCACTGACTCCGGCAGCGACACACCCTCGAGCAACGACTTCAACTACGACGAGCTCTTCGCCGACACCACCACAGTCGGCGACCCCACGCACTCCAGCACCAACAGCCACTCCTCCGGGCACGTCCACCCCGACGCCAGCTCGTGTTGAGCACAGCCCGGTGGAGTTCGCTACTCCGCTCTCCCACGACGAAGAGCGCATCGACGCGTACCACGACGGCGAGCTGCTACAGTACCGTACGATAGAGGACCTTCTCGGCGACCAGCCAGTGCCGAGACTGGTGCCTCGCGACCTAGAGGTGCAGTTGCACCTTGCGTGCGACGACGATGAGCCTCGGTCTTTCGCAGAGGCCGAGGGACACGAGGCATGGCATGCCACAATGCAGTCGGAGATGGACGCGGTTGAGGAGAACCACACCTGGGAGCTTGCTGACCTCCCTCGTGGTCACCGCGCGATCACCCTTAAGTAGGTGTTCAAGCTGAAGAGGGATGAAGCCGGAGCCATCGTCAAGCACAAGGCTCGCTTGGTGGCTCATGGTTTTGTGCAGCAGGAGGGGATCGACTTCGACGATGCCTTCGCTCCCGTGGCACGGATGGAGTCCGTGCGACTCCTTGCGCTGGCTGCTCAGGAAGGCTAGTGCGTCCATCACATGGACGTCAAGTCGGCGCTTCTGAACGGCGACTTGAAAGAGGTCTATGTGCACCAGCCGCCGGACTTTACGATCCCCGGCAAGGAGGACAAGGTGCTACGCCTGCACAAGGCCCTCTACGGCTTGCGGCAGGCACCGAGAGCGTGGATTGTCAAGCAATTTTGCTATATATTTGTCGACAAATTTTCCCCCAAAAATTTGACAGATGTAATTACAGTACAACCGTAGTGTAATTACACTGTAACTTGAATGTAATTACACTGTAACTATAATATAACTTGTATGTAACTTTCAAAAATCTCTCCATAACATGTTATTTTGGTAAAATGAAGGTTGTGGGAACAATTTTTTTCACATATGTGTGTACTGTGATTTTTTTCTTCCTCACCAAAACAAATCTTTATAATAGATCTAATGATTTAAAATTACGTGAAACTTACATTCAAGTTACACTGTAGTTACATGAAGTTACAGTGTAATTACATACAAGTTACAGCGTAATTACACTACGATTGTACTGTAATTACATCTATCAAATTTTTAGGAGAAAATTTGTCGACAAATGTATAGGTGGTCCCTTGTCAAGTTGGATTCCACGCTCAAGGGGATGGGCTTTGAGCAAAGCCCGCACGAGGCGGCCATCTACCAGCGGGGCAATGGAAGAAATGCCTTGCTGGTGGGTGTCTATGTCGACGACTTGATGATCACCGGCACCAAGGATGCAGAGGTGGCGGCGTTCAAGGAGGAGATGAAGGCCACCTTCCAGATGAGTGATCTGGGGCCCCTCTCCTTCTACCTGGGGATCGAGGTGCACCAGGACGACTCCGGGATCACGCTTCGACAGACCGCCTACGCCAAGCGCGTCGTTGAGCTGGTTGGGCTCACCGATTGCAATCCAGCTCTCACTCCGATGGAGGAGACTGAAGCTGAGCCGCGACAGTCCGACGGAGGAGGTGGATGCCACACAGTCTTGTGGGGAGCCTTCGCTACCTCACCCACACACGGCCGGACTTGGCCTTCTCCGTTGGCTACATCAGTCGGTTCATGCAGCGACCGACGACGGAGCACCAGCAGGCTGTGAGGAGGATCATCCGCTACGTTGCGGGGACTCTCGACCACGGTCTCTACTACCCGAGGTGTCCTATCAAGGCACACTTCGTCGGGTACAGCGACAGCGACCACGCCGGCGACATCGACGCCAGCAAGAGCACGAGTGGGATTCTCTTCTTCCTCAGCGACTGCCTCGTTAGCTGACAGTCGGTCAAGCAGCAGGTGGTGGCCCTATCTAGCTGCGAGGCCGAGTACATGGCAGCCTCCGCCGCTTTGACCCAGGTGCTCTGGCTTGCTCGACTGCTTAGTGATCTCCTCGGCAGAGACTGGAGCGGTGGAGCTCAGGGTGGATAGCAAGTCCGCCCTAGCCCTGGCAAAGAACCCCGTTTTCCACGAACGAAGCAAGCACATCCGGGTGAGGTACCACTTCATCCGAAGCTACTTGGAAGAAGGGAGCATCAAGGCGAGCTACATCAACACCAAGAACCAGCTTGCGGACTTGCTCACCAAGCCTCTCGGGAGAATCAAGTTCCTCGAGCTCTGCTCCAGGATCGGGATGGCCCAACTTCCCCACAAGACGACGCACAAGACTTAGGGGGAGAATGATGGATAAGTCTTTGTGGTCCTTGGTCGTGGTTCTTTTTTTTGCTTTTGGGTAGTTTCACCTTTTTCAGGACAGCATCTACTCCTTTAGCATATTTTCAGTTGCTAGGACAGCTGCGGTTAGTAGGACAGCAGCAGTTAGCATCTCCTTTATGCCTCCTTTATGTTTTATTCAGTTTGGATGCTCTCTAGGACAGCATCCCATTCAAATTTCGAACTTTAGACTAGGAGGGTGCAGCAATAGGCTTGCAGCCAGCTATGGCTATATATATGTATCCAACCTCCCTCGGGTTGGTATGGCTTTGAGTTTGTGAATGGAAGAAAACTAGAAAAATTGTCCCATCTTGAGTGCCATCCTCTTATCAATGAGAGTAACCATTGAAATTCTAACACATTTCCCTATAGGTACATCCTGTTGCTGTGGACTTGTTACAACAGCAGTTAAAGAAAGGGTTCATGCCAGCAGCATGGTTACATCGTTGACAGAAGTTATCAATGAAAACAGTGAACTCCTGTGCTGCCCATCAGCTCCAAATTATGTAATGCAGCACTGAGGCTCCACTTTTCTATTGGGAACGAGTCAAGAAGCTCTATGTCATTAACTACAAATTGATATTCAATTGACTGTAGATTGTTTATGTCATGGATATGGATGGACATGGATTCCACCACTAAAGTTGGATTAGACATCTTGAATATTTTATTAGCATATATGTTGAACATCTCTAGTCTGGATAGTGGATACAATATCCATCCCATTCCTGCCACTAATTAGACGGTTTGCAGAATAATCCTTACTAAGAATTTTCACCCGAGTTCCAAGCGTACAAAGCCTAATGTAGGAAGCAACATATTTTTGCCATAAATGAAAAACATAAGGATGGCTAGAGCATATTCCCAAGGATGATACCTTTGCCCGTTCTTCCTCATTTGTATCCATAATGTATGCCATGTACCTGTGGTATTCATGTATATGAATGAGAATCTCACCAACATGTGATAAAAGTATCACTTTCATGCCCAAAAATGTAATCAAAATCATTTGTGCCGTATAAGCGTTAGAAAGGTCTAAAAGGTGTAATCAACATGTGATAACAATAACAATAATAAACATGTCATTTTGGACATGTCCAAAGTCAAACTTTAAACATGTATATCTTTTTACATATTTCGGTGAATTGTATAAAGTCATGTGTAAGTTTGTTATGGAAAATGTTCTCATGAGGTTAAAATATTGTTGAGTTTTTTATAAATATTGTAATATACTCCCTCCGTCCCAAAATATAGAAATTTCTGGCTATGGATCTGGACAAGAAATGTTTATATTTTGGGACAGAGGGATAAGTAGTCAATGTTTCCTTTCAAAGACCATGTCAATGCCTAAAACAAGAAGTTTTTGTGACCAGAGGGGGTAACTCTTTAACCACATAAGCTGCCAATTATGCCATATAAGCACTACAAAGATGGGTTAACCACAGAAAACCCCATACCCTACCACATTTTAGAACCTTTAAGCTGAGTGAAAAGCATCAACCAAAATGCAAACCAAAGAGGAAATTGCAAATTCAAATCTATGCAGAACATAGAACAAATTAAACATGTCAGTTACAACAAAGCTTTAGCCTGCCCATTTATCTAGAGCAAAGTCAATGTGCATATGGACCTTATACAGAAAGAATTTGTGGATGAAAGAAGGGATGGAAAATAGAAAGGGATAAATTCACCAAGACCTCCTGTACACGGCTGGGGAGATTGCTCTAAAGGTTATTTTTAATGGACTCACTTTGGTTTCACTAAAGTTTCTGAGCAGCAGGAACATATTTGGTCAAGTGGCATACAAATAGTCTCTACTACAGAAATATGTTAACTATTTTCTTCTTTATTTGATTTAAATATGGATCTAACTTACAAAACAAGATTCTATGAGGCATTAAACGAGGGAACTAATTACCAGCTCTCTCGACTTTTGTCCTTTGCTTCTTTTTCATACTTCTGGATTGTCCTGTCATCCACTTGCCCACTTAAGAACAATATCTGGCCTCCAGCTGTGGACTTACCAGCATCTGGAACCATGAATAACCAATAGAAATAGGTGAGGTCATAGAAGCTTTTAGCAAAATATCAGATTGCCATAACATCTTATGCGACAATAAGACATAAGCATATGCTTGTAGCATATGTACATCAAATCTATCTAAATATACTAATTACATACTACCTGGAAATTCCTGTGTTTTGGTAAAGAAGTAAATAAATCTAGTCATCCATCTGGTCATACCAAGCTATAATTAATGGCTATGATCATTTGTCTAGACATATATGTTTAATTGTGAAGGATAAGCTATTGTAATTTCCACTAAAAAGGTATTGTAACATGAGAAGTAAACAAAAAGTAAGGACTCTTCTACTGTGTAATGTAATTTTATCTTTAATAACATACCCGTAATTGCGTCTCATTGGCTAATGATGAAAGAAAATCCAGAAGCAAGCTGCTAATAAAAAATTCTGGTAGCAATGGATGACAATCTCGCACCAGTTATAACGGTGTTCAGCCACCAGATCTTAAACCTCAACATTTAGACAAGTTCTACAAGTGGCCTCTCTCCATTTATTCATCTAGGTTTCAGACACATATATTCTTCTGCACATGCACCTATACACGTCACAAATATAAATGTGTGTTGTGTTAACAATTGGGATTGACCAGGTTGGGCACAAGTAATCTCCTTGGCTCTCACCACTTGATTACTAGCCCATCTAGTGGCAAACTGGTTTTTATGTTGTTGTTTTGCTATCTATAACATAGACCTTCTAGTCCAGTTTTACATCCAACACAAATATAAAATTGACCATTATTAGTTATCTGTTTCTTAAAGTTATTTATGAAATCATGTTTTAAATAAAGTTTAACATTATACCATTCAGCACAGTTTCTTTCTCTGAATAATCTGCTACTCTGGTGTATGCAAAGGATAAAGAAAAATTAATCAAACAGTAGAGACAATGCAATGTATCTGAGGGATAGATGCTATTTGTTTTTATGTTATTTAAACTATGAGTAATTAACTTCTAAAAGCACCCTCAGTGAAAGATGTATTTATTTTTGTGATTTGACAGTAAGATGACAAAAGAACATGACCCTCAAATATAACCAGGTACTCTTAATGATGGTCATATCCTATGCATGTATCAACCCTAGAGATCTTTAATTTAACAAATTATAATTTTGATAGACGTGCATATATCATTATGTAAAGTAACCACTGCAAATTCGTGGGTTAATGATTAGTGGTAACATTTGACTAAATAAAATGACCATCAACAATTGAATAAATGATGCAACAGTATAACTAAGTCTATAAAGGAAAATTAAGATCAGAAAATGAGGAAGACCAGATCAAACATGCACGAATATGTAAGCGCCGTCTAGACCCTTATATTACAAATAAAAATAAAAAACATGCCTATGGAGAATTTAATAATTAATGGTCAATGTAAAATTGACCAAATGTACGAAAACTGTAGCTACTTAGGAACAGAGCAAATAGGCAGCATCATACTACAGCAAGGGCACAATGGTACAATGGGCCTGTTCACTTTGATGCCAAAAAAAACCTTACCAAATTTTGGTAAAATTACCAAAAAAGTGGCTACATTTAGTTTGCTGCCAAATTTTGGTAACTATATAAGAAATCCTGCCAAAATTTTGGCAACTATACATTGCCAAAATTTGGTAAGGTTTTTTTGGCATCAAAGTGAACAGGCCCAATATATTCTACAACAAGCGCACAGTGCGCCTAATGGGTTTATTCAGCAAGTCAGCATAGTTTGTTTCTTCAAAAAGAAAAGGACTCAGGATAACTTGGTCTAGTACCAAAAAGATTACTGCAAAACAGTTAGGCAAGTACTCCCCTAACACACCAATTAGCCCCATTCAATCAGTCCTTAATGTTAATCTATGTTAAGCAAGAACTGAAAAATGCAATTTTCTAATACTACAAAAATACACTACTATCAGAAGGCAAAGCACACCATTTTTGCTCTATGGCTTTTGTCCTACAAAATTACGTCACAAAAGCAAATAATTGCTGGTAAGATTGATAAGACCAACATTCTACCACAATACCAAATCAAGGATGTAAATTGTAAGAAGACTCCAGAACACTTTTCATTCTGCAATGGACATTCAAGTCACAGTGGACCTATGTATTAAACTAGACAAAAGGATGCAAAAATTTACAGGAGCACTCACCAACATGGCCAATAAAAACAACATTCAAATGCCGTTTTCTATTCTGTTCCTCCTTTGCTTCTGTTTGAACTGCATCATGTGGCAAATCTAAAACAAGGTGAGAAAGGGCCTTAAGATCCAACACATTGTCATTAAATTGCAATTATACAGGATTTCAGAAAGCTCCACGAAAACAAAATGTAGATATCATTGCTTTTTCAATTTTAAGTTCTTGCATAACATAGATTAGCATAAGGAATAAGAACACCATCCGGACGGGTTCCAAATAAAAGCAATTTAATAGAGAAACTTCAGACACCACATAAAGATGACTTACAAATTTTTGAATGGGTTTCCAAAAAAAAAAAAAGCAATCTGATAGAGAAACTTCAGACACCACATGAACATGAATTACGGATTTTCTCAAGAGCGCAAATTAGTGAAGGGATGAAATTCTCGAACAATTCTGATTCTTCTGAATGATCATAACCACGATGTATAGTTCAAAAGAAAGAAAGATTTCCGCCTTTCACACATACCTACTGACTGCAATTCCAGTGACTGAAGACTTGACTTGATTCCATTGACATCTGAGAGTATAATGTAGCTAACATTAGAAGACTCATTGTCTAAAAAAAAGCTAACATTAGAAGACTATGAATAAGGAGTATAATGTAGCTAACATTAGAAGACTCATTGTCTAAAAAAAGCTAACATTAGAAGACTATGAATAAGTAATAGGTAGGTAACTCGCGATTGCATAACTACATAAGGTGGGACAAACAAATTATTGATTAAAAAGAGCATTCAAAGCCAACTACATAAGGTGGGCAAACAAATTATTGATTAAAAAGAGCATTCAAAGCCTACATGGGTTACCTGATTATAAACTATAAACAGAGGAATCAATGTAAGATCGTAACAACCAAAATGAGAATGGCTCCAAAGTAGAAAAAGGGACCACACACCATCTGATTACTTGTTTACATTACCACCAGCATCTGACATCATTAGCAGCATTCACGTGATGGCCCATAAGACTAAATAGAAATTTCTATCAAGCATAACATAACTTTCACATTCTCTTGTGCTACAAATTTTAGTTGAAGAATAATTTCAAATGTGCTTTATTCATAGTTTTGGGAGTAACATGGGTTTGGCAACATAACTGTTCAAAATTACAATGACGGTAGGAAGTCCATACCCACATATTACTGAAACAGAAGGGCTACGCTTGACGCATTAAGACCTAGTCTGATCATATTTCTTACCTTAACTAATGAAATAATAGAAGTACAAATAAAACGACATCGATTACAAAACTACCCAACTCTACCCAGATCATCAGAACCCATGAAATACACCATTTCACCTCCCCACCCGAACCGCAGCGGCAGCAGCCCAAACAATGGAAGAAACACCCTCCGAAGTCCGAACCCACACATTACAGCATAATTAGGCACAGCCTAGTAGGCTACCGCATAATTAGACACAGATGCGATCCGCACCAGGCGAGCTCCGATCGAACGGAAGGATCCAGCAGGCACGCGAGGGGGCAAACGGAGCAGAAGAGGAATCGAGACGGAGAGGCATGGTACCTTGGGCCGCACGGGCTCGGGGCGCCTCTCGGGCGTCGTCGTCATCGCGAGCCGCGGAATGCGGATGGGGCTTCGCTGGAGCCTCCTCGAGGTCGTCGCGGGCCGCCCAGTCGTCGTCGGCGGGTTGGAGGGAGGTGATCGCCGGCGCCGGCGCGGGCGCAGGGTCGGCGTCGTGCTCCATCTCCCGCGAGCACGAGGAGGAGGAGGAAGCGGTGGGGGTTGGGTTGTTTCTGCCCTTCGCCTTTGTGCCCACTTGGGGTTTTTCTTGGCTTAGCGGAAAATTTCCGCTCTTTTCGCTGTTTTAGGGTTTTTCAGTTATTTTTCGTAGGGGGATTTTGGCCTGGGGAAATGGGGAGGAGTGGGGGGCTACGGCGGCAGGCCGAGAACGGTGGAGAGGGCAATACACGAGATGGTGCTGCTTTGGCGACTTGCGGCCCCGATCTTTTCCCAAACAAAATTTTTACAGATTGTTATATCGAATTTTTTGACACATTAAGTATTAAATATAGAAAAAACAATTACATAGTTCGTTAGAAAATCGTGAGACGAATCTTTTAAGCCTAATTGCGCTATGATTTGATAATATGGTGCTATAGTAAATATTTGCTAATGACGGATTAATTAGACTTAATAAATTCGTCTCGTAGCTTTCTGGCGGAATCTGTAATATTTTAAATATGTGTCCGTATATCTAATGTGACATGCAGGGGCAAAAAAATTTTCCAACTAAACAGGCCCTGCTTATCAGCCAAAATTTGAATTTTCAACATTAAATTTGGAGTTGATTTGGGGTTTTTCATCGAAGTTCTAAGAACACGTATATAAAAATTTTATTTACAAATTCTTTTTCGTTTGCAAATATGCAGTTTCACATATAAGCGAAACGTTGAGGCCTTTGGCGTGCTCCCGTGCCTCGGCCCGCAAGGCGGATCGGCCTAACCGAGTAATAACTGGGCTTCTGGGTTTGGCCTTTCGGTGTCTGGTCAGGGTTGAACGTGGTATTTATGTTGACTAGTAATCATGCAATGCAGATGCAATATGAGGAAATCAATGCTTGCATGGTAATGCTCATACATCTTGACACAGTAAATTTAGATATATTCCAAGTTCATGATCAGAAGATAATATGGATTTTATAAGACAGTATGAACTTGTAAAGAGTAAGATCGGTCCTTAATTAGACGGTACAGTGTAGAATATTTCTTGCACACATTGCAAAGACAAAGTCAGTTAGAACTTAGAAACCTTGCATCCGATTGTCTTTATATGGCGAATTTGTAAAGTTTCAGTACTTGCTCCATAAGAATTCATAACAATTAGCTCAGATGAAAAAAAAAACATTGAATGCCATGCACAATAGGATGCCTCCTCTTGTAAAGAAGGAAAAAAACGAACGCCTATTAGGCATGTACAAAGGACCAAGGCAAAAAAAAAAATAGCTAGTCATATATAGTACATATGGTTATTTCTGAGAAAAATACTTTTCCACATATTGGGGGTTATCTTGTGATGTAACCACAGGGAGAGGAGAGGAACTTTGTTTGCTAGATAGATGAATATTTCTGAAACAATTCTGTCTCCTGGAATGCATAGAATTTTGATCTTGCAGAAGTCTTCTTAACCGGCTCTGGTTGCTTTGGTGCACATATAAGAGCATCTTCAACAGCCTTTCCAAATATTCATATAGCTAACTCTCTATCTGATTTGGCTAGTCAAACTAGCTACTTGCTCCAACCGCCTCTCCATCTACCACCCCTATTATAAGTCTATGACAAATAGAACCCACGTGTCAGCCTCACTTCCTCTTCCTCTTCCCCTTCTCCTCCTCCTGTGTGCATCCTGGCTTCCTTTCCTCCACCCACGATGCCAACCACCAATCCGCCGCTTCCATGCCCTCCCCTTCCTCCCTCACATTCGATTAGCTTCACCGCCGCGCCCAATCGCCCCGACGTGCTGCTCCAGGCCACCGATTCCGTCCCCGTCCAACGCCATGGCGCCAGGAGAACGACGACGGCGGCACTGGGTGGATGGCGCGGCAGGTAGGGATGGGGAAAAAGGGAGAGAGAGGAGAAAGGGTGTAGGACCCACACCGATGGCAAGCCATATCGGCTGGCTAACTTTGGCTAGTCTGGTGGGGACTTTAGCCAGCTGGATGTCTTGGAGAAGCATTTGACTAGTCTGTTGGAGTAGAATTTTTGTCTAAGTTAGCCAAATTTTGGCTTGGAGAACCATTTGGCTAGGCTCTTGGAGATGCTCTAATGCATGGTCATTTTTTACTCTTGCTGAGTTGATCTGGAGTGTTTATGTTGTTTCTGAGTATAATGTTAAAACAGAGGGAGCATATTGGGAAGGCTATTTGACTAGGGCTGTGTTTAGTTCACGCAAAAAATTGGAAGTTTGGTTGAAATTGGAACGATGTGATGGAAAAGTTGGAAGTTTATGTGTGTAGAAAAGTTTTGATGTAATGGAAAAGTTGGAAGTTTGAAGAAAAACTTTGAAACTAAACATGGCCTAGATAGCATTGGATGTTTTGGTTTCCGAAGTTCCTTAAGGAACCACATCAGGCAAATTAGAATTTTACTGACCAGCACTGATGTATTTTTCGGACGTGATAACCAGCTACCACTCCATCTATGATAGACACTATTCATCTATACTTCAAATACGATTTTCTCTTAAACTACTCATCCGATCTACGATCCGATTACACCGTTGTGTTCGTAACAATTAAATCTTTATAACAAGATCTCACATGATTATACTTTAATGAAAAAAATATAAATTACTTTTATAACATATCTAAATTACTTTTAGATTTCACTAAGTTACTTATTAGACATATAAAAGTAATTCAATAAAGCCTAAAAATAATTTACATATACTCTAGAAGTAACTTATAACAAAAAGAAAGTAACTTCTATAATATATATTAATTACTTTAAAACTTTATTGAATTTACTTTTATATGTCGAAGAAGTAACTTAGTGAAATCTTTCACTAAAAGTAATTTAGATATATTATAAAAATAGTTTGTGATTTTTTATCAAAATATAATCATGTGAGATCTTGTTGTAAAGATTTAATTGTTACGAACACAACGGTGTAATCGGATCGTAGATCGGATGAGTAGTTTAAGAGAAAATTGCATTTGAAGCATAGATAGTAGGAATATTTTTTCTATTTGCTTGATCAATTAGTACTATAGTAAAGTAATATTCTTCAAGACACATATATGGACAATGGCTGATAGCGTCGCTCGTTATGACTAAATCGAGATCGCTCTCGATGTAGATTTTGCGTTTCTGGACGGCTGGATTTCTGGTTGTCACGCTAGTTGAGTTTCTGCTCATTATCTAATCTAAATATAGTAATTATGTAGAAAGTCTGTTATCTTTGATGGGAGGTCGTGTCCGTCCACAATATGAGCAAGATTAATCGGTTTCTGTAACTGAAACAAGCCTGCACAACTCTAGCTCACTACTAGAAAAACTATTTTTCCCAACGTGAGGGTTTTATTTTCACAGGCGGATATGACCCTTAGAGTCAAATGACCGCCTACAAAAATATAAATCGGGGTGAAATTTAATGCCCAGGCGGACCATTTAAGCGGCGAATGCGAAAATAAACTTGAATATAAATAGGCTTGCGGGCCCTAATTTTTTTCTAAGTCCTTACACCTCTCAGTCCTCCCCTCGCTCCACACCTCTCCTCTCTTCCTCACCGGCCTCTCCCCTCCCCTCCCCTCCCCTCTCCTCCTCTCCCCTCCCCTCACTTCTACTCTCCCTAGCGGCGGCTCCCGGCGGCGGCGGCGGGCGGTGACGGTGGAGGGCGGCAGTGGCGAGGAGGCGCGGCCGAAGTCCGGGAGGCGGCAGCGGCTCCCCCCTCCCTCCCAGATCTAGCCGGAGGAGGGAGGGGGGAGGCTGGTGGCGGCAGCAACGGCGTGGAGCGGCCGCAGCGTGGTCCGGGCGGCTCCCCTCCCCCCTCCCTCTCAGATCTGGCCGAAGGAGGGAGGGGGAGGCCAGCGGGGGCAACGGCGGCGGCTCCCCTCCCCCCTCCCTCTCAGATCTGGCCGGAGGAGGGAGAGGGGAGGCTGGTGGCGGCAGCAACGGCGTGGAGCGGCCGCAGCGTGGTCCGGGCGGCTCCCCTCCCCCCTCCCTCTCAGATCTGGCCGGAGGAGGGAGGGGGAGGCCAGTGGGGGCGACGGCGGCGACGACGGCACGGGGTGGCCGGCGGCGTCTCCCCTTCCTCCCTCCCTCGCAGATCTGGCCGGAGGAGGGAGGGGGGAGGCCAGCGGGGGCGGCGGCGGCGACGAAGGCACGGGGCGACGACGGCATGGAGCGGCGGCGGCTCCTCTCCCCTCTTAGATCCGGCCGGGGGAGGGCGGTGGCGGTGACGACGACGACTGCGGCGGTTCCCCTCCCCTCTCAGATCCGGCCGGGGGAGGGCGGTGGCGGCGAGCCGCGTGCAGCGATTTTTTTTGTTCGTTTTTTTTTTTTTTGCATTTTCACAGGTGGGCCGTTGCCCCGACTGTCGTTGTGATGCAGGCGGATCTCCCTCCCGCCTGCGAAGATTAGTTTTGGCTGCCTGTGAAGATTAGTTTTCTAGTAGAGTGGCTGGCCGGGCTAGCTACTGCTGAAACATTAAACTAAACAAAGAAAAAGGAAAATATTGCTTATATCTTCCTCGAACTGGTAGATGACTGGAGCATCTTAGTGTAATTCTCACATAGTAGTCAGGGCTACATAATCCGGCTTAAGTAGGTTTTATACCCATATAAAAATATGAATATGATCACGCATATCCCGGATATAATAATGCCCTGCAAGAATATAGAGAAGAGTCAGTATAGTTGGTAATTAATCATCTCATTTTGGACTATTCTAAGAGCATGTGCGCGCATGGTGTCTAATAACGGACGCTTTCTATTGCCCTGCAAATAAATTTGGTGATGTGGAAGAGAGAGAGGGAAAAGGAAAGCAAAATGTCTAAACGTTTATTAACGGAAATTTTGTTTCATAAGGGTGGATTAAAGGAAAGAAGGATAATAAAAATTATTTAGTGCATTAATGGTTAAGAGGTTTTGTTGTCTCTATTATTGTAGCATGATAGTATCTAGTGCTACAAAGAGCTCGTATTAGACTCTACCTTTATATATGCCTAAAAAACTAATTTCTCAACAAAACCAATCATTAGAAAAAACCGAACAACTTACTGGATTCAAATCCTCTCAGTAAACTGAATTAAAAAAAAAGTTACAACGCACCGGCCTGTAACTAACACCTAGGGAAAAAGAAAATATGGAAACACTTGCATACGTACCCA